TTGCACGGCCATGAATGAAGACCGTTTAAGAAGAGACTAGTGTCTGCATAAGAGGAAATGAAAGAATAGAATAGAAACCAGTGCCCGCAGGGATAATAGAGTATCGAAAAAGAAAGAGTTGCGACTATAGAACCAGGTGATGAGAAGGGACATGTTGACAGGAAAGGGGAAATATATATTTATATAAATATAATCACGGTCCATATTTGTACTTGTATTTATATTTATACTTATATTTATATTTATATTTTTGTATTTGTATTTATATCTATATCTACATTTATATTTATATTTATGTTTATATTTATATTTATATTTATATTTATATTTATATTTATATTTATATAGCTATGTATACGTATGTATATCTACGTGCATATACTACACATCTACCGAACAATAATTGACGTTGGATTTCTATCGCAACACTCTACGGGGTACACATTGTTGAAGATCATTGTTTTGCATGATGCTTTTAGCGTATAAAATGTGTGTGACGTGTATTTGTATTGCCATGACGCAGCATGTATAAAGCATGCCAGAATTTGTGTGCTGATAACTTATAGTGTAAATCGCCTGTTTGTGTTTGTTTTTGTATTTATCATTCTTAGATACAGCGTAACGCTGCAAAGCGATTGAATACTTTCATATTCGTGTTAGAGGCTAACGTTGTTTCCATACAGAATCTTTTATCTCCTGAAATATTACCGTTTATATACTGTATATTTTCATTGCCGAAACAATGCGCGTAGCCAGGTTTTCAAGGATGCTGATCACTTGGAAATAATTCTGCGAAAACAATGACACAGTAATTACTGTGCGCTTGGTAGGTTTCATTACACTGAACTGGCATTTCATTGGATAAAACTCAGTAAACATTGATTGATTCAGTTTCATTTTGTACTAAATGATACGAATGCTAAAGTTTTAATTCTTAATTATTAATTTTCAATCTGAGTGTAATACGCTTTAAAAGAAAATAAAGCAGTATAAATATTTTGAATGTTATACATGTACCTGTAGTTGTTAGAAATTCATATGTTTATATGGATTAACGTGCAATGCGATACTTTCGTTATTTTAATCTTTTACCCTGTCGCATAGTTTACTGTTGCCACAAATACGAAGTAGGAGTTAAAAGTAGATAGTAATCTGCAGCGGTTTTTACTCTCGAAAGTGATAAACGGAAACAAAATAGTTGATGCGGTCACTTTTAATTAATCCATACATTGCATGGACTCATTTTTCTTTTATGTTTTGCATTCTAGTGTGTATTTAAGTAAAATTTTATTTTCTGTCTCTTACCCTATGTGTATGAGAAAAACAAGTGTTCGTAATTTTTTCTTAGGCTTACTACCGACATATAGGTTTGTGGAGCTGATCGAATTGTTTACAAATTGTGATCAGTAATCGTTATTCTTTTGATTGCTTTCTCGCACTATTCCTCCATCTCTTTTTGCGTTTGTTCACCCTTGCTTGTGTTTTAATCATCCGATGGTATTCTGCTCTCCGGTTCCCTATTCTCCAACTCCTTTATTTCATTGTTATCCCTTCTTCCCAATTCCCTTTGCACTTTATTCGATTTTGGAGTTTGTCCGTCTCCAAATGTTCATTTAATGCATCATCTGTCTTATGGTGCTTAGACCTGAATTTCCCTAAAATGTATCCGCGGATATTAAATCGGATAGAATAGGAAGCAAACATAAACATTCTGTGTGATTCTTTTGTAATTGTTTTTTCTTATTTTGTATCTATTTGTTATTTTATGCTAGTCCAGGTGTAGTCAACTGATTGCTCAGAGTCATTCAAATGTTATTCAATAATTTTGGCAGTTAAATTTTATGATGCGGTAAGTTGTATGAATACTAAAACTGATATTTTCTAAATTGAGTTAATTTACACATAGTGTTCCATAATATTCTACGTATTCTCTACATATGCAGAATAAGTATTATAATGTGATTAATGTTTTTCTTATAAATTAATTCATATCACTTATCTATAAAAACAGGATTCATTAGCTAATATTGATTAATGATCAGTTAAGCTGTGCTACCTCGTATCGTGTATTATATAGAAATACATAACATATGTGAAAGAAATGGAACCAATAAAACGATATAGAATATAATCAATAGGAACCATGCAATCGATAGAAACCAAATAATTTAAAGAAACAAAACAATAGATCAGAAAATCTTACAATGTAAAAGATGTAGGTATTCTGTTATTTCTATCCATGTTAATGATATTTATAGTTGCTGCAATTATAATGATCTATCTTCTTTACGGTCTATAAATATATAAACGGAAAAGGTTCGTCGATCTCAGAGACAAGAAACGAATGAAAGACCACACACAAAGTAGACACAGCACAGCTGATATTTCACATGCCAAGGAATTAGAGCATAGAACACTTCGGAAGTATTCTTAAGTTTTTATTTGGATTTTACTCTCACTCATTATTGCATTATAAATTATTATATCTATAACTATTGTATCCCGATTTTCTTTATGATTTTCTGTTGGATGGTCGATGAAACATTTTACATAGTTCCGAAATTGTATGGTGCATAAGAAATTAATGTATAACATGAATCATCTAAGATGTGAAAATCTGAAAATTTCCCGATTATTTGTGACTTAAAAAGGATGGTCTTGGTAATCTTCATTATCACAGCATTAAATTAAATTGAATTATGTGTAATAATTCATCATTAAATTACTACCAGTGAAGTTATTGTTATAAATGTTAGCACGATTTCGAAAGGTACATTGCATAAAAATTGTGTTTGTTTTATTACTGGAGACCTTTTCAACATTTGAATGTTAATTTCGATTTTTCTAAATAGATTATTGCATAACACTTCTTGATTGCAAACTCAATAATTTTCATATGATTCGTGTCATTTATATCTCGGAAATATGCCTCATATAATGTCAGAATGAGCCATGTATGTGGTTAATTACTACAATAATCCACTCCTACTTATATCACAGAGTTTTTCAATAAAACAAATACGTTCTTAACTACTAAATCTAAAACTAATCCCAAAAATTGTATTATTTATCTGAAATTATATCTTTCCAAATCTTACTACAGAATTTCACATTCTACTTAAAAAGTAGTTGACTTTCGAAACACCGAAGCGATCTCAGCTATAAAAAAAGTTTATATATTTGTTAATGTCTCCTTCAAAAATATGTAAGTTTAATATACAATAACGCACGGTACTACAAGGTTAAATTTAGAAGACGGATCTCCCCTTTTTCCCGTCACTTATTCAGTGCCTCGAGTTTAACGAAGTCTCATCTCAGTTGGTAAGGATAGAGAATAAATACAATATAAAGAAATGACGTAAAGAATGTTTAAGGTAATTATACAGGTCAGAGAGAGTACCTCATCGATTTCAGTAATTTTCGGGTATTTTGCGAGGAACGTCGTTTCAAGTAACTTTTGAGTTTGTAACGTTATATTTAAGAATATACATTCGAGTAGATGATATTTTGCTTTCTTCCAGAATTTCTTTGAATAACATATCTCATTAACCCATTTGCGTCATACGGAAAAGTGAAGAATTGGTCTTTATCACCAAAAATACTTTTTATTGCATCAAAATAGAAATGACTCAAAACGTATAGAAAATTGAAAACAGAGTCGCGTAAACAAAGAATTCATATTTTTATTTAACGCAATAAAGTTCACGTAGAAACACCCGCGCGCGGATAATAATTTGACAAATATGAAAGTACTTGAAATGGCCAATACGTATAGCCACATGACAATTATTACACTGATAAAATGTATATTTTCGTTTTTGTTTTCTTTTGTGACATACAAACTGCACAACGTTTGTAAGTTTCCTTCGATGAACTTGTTTCAATGAATATTGGAAAATGTTGACCAGTAAATCTTTATGATAATGATGGACATGTAACTGTTCGTATTCTTGTTCGTGTGCGCTCTGGTTATAATCCCTAAAAGGTGGCGTGCATATATGCGCTTCGGTGATACAAACCAGGAAAAATTCGCGCATATACGCACTAATAATGCAAATGGGTTAAGAATGATCTGTTTATTTAATCCCAAGAAGCGACACGTTTTATTGAATGGTAATCTTATCGAAGGTGCCGTTCATTGATCTCGTTACTTACAGTTTATGGAAATGAATTTCTTGTTTTTCTGTGACTGGGTGCAGAAAAGGGGTAAGGTCCCTTTACCACCCATGCTTTTATTTCATAATCGCTAAAAATCAGTTTCTCATAAATATTTCGAAAACTAAAAGAGTTCGACATTATTGTAGAAGGAAATTGGAAAAATGGTTATTCAAAAAAGGAAGTGACAATTAAAGAAGGAAGAAATGACAATTAAAACCGAATATTTTTATCATTGCTTCAATTAAATATAAAGTACAACACGTGACGAAACATTTTTATTCTACAGTGTCAACTTAGTTTTTATTTACAGAATCTTTTCATGGCTAATCATATAATCATATCACTAGTACTATTTCCAAATTCGTTAGCAGTGTGTATATCTAGTTTTCTTCTTTTGATAAATACTCCCCTCCTTCACTCTTAAAAATTGACCTTAAGGTTCATTCGATCATTCCTTTCTATTCATAAAGTCAACTTCTCGTATGAGTCATAAATTAGCAACTCACATTATATTCAATTGCGCGTGCAATAGTTGCTTTCAGGAAAAATGACCTGCCACGATAAAAGAGTTTCATACACGATCAATGACTAATAAGTAAGCGAACAGAGTAAATACTTGTATGGGCATTCAGTTGATTTATCTGTCGTTCTCCCTACATTTCGACCGTGTCAACTAATGTAACGTTAGAAATACTAACAAATAGATTCGAATGAATAAGAATTTACTTTACTAGAGAGTTCAGGTCTTTATCCATTGACAGATCTTACTATCTTTCCGGTTAGAATATCGTTTACAACTGTATTTTAACAACTGTTTTAATTACCGGATAATTCCTTTACAGAATCGGGAAGGTGGCGACCGGCCGAGAGGCGGTGGAGGTGGGAGTGATTTTCAGAGATCGGATTCATCCCCTGGTTCGAGGCCCAGCTCCGTCCTTCCGGATCTACTCACGTCGTCACCGAGTCAACGGCAGGACAAGTCCACCAGTGAGGAGGTTAGATATATATCATTACTTTTCACTTCTTTCTCGTGCGTAGATGCGGTAGCACATACTTGCATAACTTTAGATTCGTTTCGCACACCCGATGTTACGTGGGTCATTGCTGATTATTGATCCACGTTGTTCAACTTACGGCATTAGCATTCTAATTACGATTTTTCATTTCCCGCTGATGTATTTCGAAAGGAATGAATTCGATGAAAATTTCATTTTAGATTCATTGAAAGTATTATTATTACAAATCTAGTTGTTTACATTAGTAGTGTCCAAGGCTAAATGTTTATGGGGTTTCTCTTCATAAACACTACCAATACTTAACCTATGTATATTTTATCATTGCTATATACCTCATATCCGCAATGCAATTAAGAGCAATTCAGCTGATAGGTGAAAATTATCTTGCTCGTTACTTCTGTCTTGTAATTATGTTTATAAACATTGACAGTGATATATGCTGTACACAATCCTCCCTAATCTTTTATTTTGTACTTTAAAATACAATGATACCTCTACTTAAGTAGTTCTTCTTATACACAATCGTATTTTATGCAATCCGAAGGTATACACATCTTTTCGGTATTCCCAATTTATACTCATACACCATATAAGAAAGATGTTGCTTTTTCATTTATACATTTACACTTCTTTCGAAATGTTGTCACCTATTTAATGTAAATATTCGTGACAATCAAGGCGTATCATCTAATTGTCATCGGATATACTTGCTGTTGTGTTACTTGCTGCACTGCAGCTAGGATTCAGACTCTCAGGTCCTATTAATATTGTATTATGTCATTATCACTGTTTGTAAACATTTACAGGAGTAATATTAACTGATAATTAACAAGTACATATACGCATAAACAACATTTCATGCAGAATATTTTATCTAAATCTGCTGCATTTAATTATTTTCTTATATATTAAGATGCAGAACAATGTTTCTGGAGAAATATAAATATGTTATCGTATTTCTGGAGGAAAATTAAGCTGCAAGAGTGAAAGTTATCTTAATACCATATCTTGTGAGATTTTGCTACTAGTAATGTTTTTACTTAATAGAATAACATATTTCTTTGTTTACAATTAAAAGGGTAAAATCAGAATGTATCAAACGGTATATCATGATATGAATTTCAAAAGATTTTCAAATCTTTTTGCTGAGAAATCGTATAAGTAAATGAACTGTATTTCACTGGATTTCGTGATCCGACATGAATCGAACGTTCTCTGTGAAATTTAAGTGAATGGTAATTAATCGACCTTTTGAATGGTAAACAGAAAAAAAGTTATCCAATTTAGAAAAAGAACAGACATTACTGTTAATAAAATTTTAGAAGATATAATCTTAAGGCGACACTCAGTTTCATGGCAATTACGTCCCTGAAGTACAATAACATACTCTTGAAACATTTCTTTTGTATTTTGATGTACAATAAAATAATTAAGTATTCTGAAATTGTAATCAAAGAAAACTATTTTGGTTCAGGATACATTTGTGATTACAATTGACGGAGTAGCCTGTAGATATATAGCAAGTGAGACCAATAGATTACACAATTGTGTTAATTTGAATATTAAAAAATGCCGAGCCACTTATACCGCTATCATCACCCGCCATGTCTCACGTAACACCGAACGTTTTAAGTGAAAACGTTGAAGATCACGGTCTTCAACGACATACAGTATTCTCTCCTTATAATCACGCTTTATCATGCTCGTAGTATGGTAATGCTCGCTTAAATTCCACAATTTCGGGTCTCAGCATTGGAATTTAATCGAGAAGAAAAAAACAGGGGGAAGTTCCTGTTTATTTCTAGGAATTGACTCGAGTGCAGCCTGACAAAGCCAGAAAATCAATATAGCAAGCGGAAGTGGGATAGACGCAGACCGTTAAGCATCGAGGATCGAGAGACGTGACTTTAAAGCGATATTACATGCGTCAAATATAAACGTGTAATGAAGAAAATTTCAATTGCAATCATTTTAATCTTATCTTCGCAAATATACTGCCAGTGAATTTCTGAGATTCTTGTAATTAAAAGGAGTCTAAACACGATAGAAATCAGACTAATTTTACCGATTTAATGGAATTAATGAAATTAAAAGTTCATTTGCCTCAAACCGATAAAATTAGACCGATGTGTACGTTTCATCGGTAATACGATTGAGAAGATAAGGTTAAAATTATTACCATTGAAATGTTCTTCATTGCATGTTTATACTTGACGCCTGCAGAATCTCTTTAACCTCTGTCGGTCTCTCTTTCCCTTATTGCATTCATTTTCTGTTCATTTTCTGTCTACTGGAATCACGTCACACTCAGCTTGAGACAGTGAGCAGTGGGGGAAGAGTAGGGATGGTACAGTGGAATTAAGCCGAGCAGATTTCTGTGGAATTTAAGCGTGCATCACTGTATGGTATTATTCATTGCTGCCTATTATCACACTGCCTACAATCACACTGCCTATGTTGAACGATGCGGTTATACGGAGAGAATACGTATTTTAATTTAAATGGCGTGAACGCCCACCTTCTTCTGCAATGTATCTCTTTCTTTCCCTTTTCTCTTTTTCTCATGGCACTCAATATATTATATATGTGTTTTTATCAAGACACGGATCTTCTGAATATCATTTTCTATACTCGGTTATTATTGGCTACGCTTATCGATTTGAACCCTTCAAAGTGTCCATATTCATAGAACTTTTGTATCACAGAATTAATTATTTTACGCAGAGTAGGCAGGGCAATAGGTATCGTCGGATAGAAGGCAATTCTAGATGTAGTGATGAACAAACCATGTACACACTGTCGTCGTCTAAAGCTTATCTCTCGCGAATATCGAGTTTGAAAATTACTTTAAGAAGAGTGCATTTGAATATCGTTATGCACGTGTTTCCTTAATTATTCTTCGCTTCTCGGTATTTAATATTTCTATCGCTTAATATTTACGTAAATATTTCTAATTATTAACGTTTATATGGACTAGACAACAAGGTGATCGAAAAACAGATAGCATTACAATATAACCATATTTAGAAACATTAAAGGAAAGTTTATATGAAAATATATTTTCTACATTTTTTATTTATTTATATGTACGAGAATTGCTTTCCGTCAAATCGTACCAAAGGTAACAGACGAACATGTGTACAAGATGTTTTTAAAGGTCATTTCACAACCATCAGCGATCACGACGATTCTACCTCTTTAATTTGATGAGAAAACATGTAAGGAAGTAGTGGCAAAATTCATCCTGACCTTGAAGAAAAGGGTTAAAATTTGTTAAATTTTATTGCTGCATCGTATTCTACACACTGTGGAGATAAATAGTTTGACAAGAACCATAGGTTAGAAATAATTTGTTTGCTTGCAAATCGCTTTTAAAGTTCGCATTAGAGAGTAATTACACACGATATTCAATATCTGTTTTCGTTACACAATGAATTACCGAATTTAACATAGAACTTCGTTCTTTAGGATAATGTGAATGAAATTATTTATTGATTGAGTTATTCATTCAGATCCGTGGAGAAAATTTGTTACATTTTGTCATCTTTCACCGTAGGAAAACGCAATTATTGCATTTGTTACCGCAGCTAATCGAAATACGTGTATCAGGAAAGGAAGCCTGAATATAGAGATTCTTTATTCTCCAACGCGAACTTCGACAGCAGTTTCCGATCAAACGAATCATTGTTTCTTTCAAATTTACCTCCGGCAGATTTACTTAGACGGCGAGTAGACTATAATAGAGCGATAAAGAATTTTAACTCTTTCAGTTTTCAAAGTAAAAGAAAATTTTGCGAATCCTTCCTTATATCCATCTTCGTTAAGTTGAAGATGTAGAATTCACATATGGTAGCCAAGACGAAACATTTCTGTCCACCCTGTATAGGGTAATTTATCTGTTTGTATTAGCTAGGTACAAGTTGAATAATCGCGAAAAATAACGGATAGGGAAACCCATTAGGAGAAATATTGCAATATGATTAGGCTGCTTTCACACTACGATTCCTGAATCTCGATTCACGTCGCCCGATACGTACTGCGCTATGCACTTCACGTATCGTAGAACGGGCGGTGCTATCGCTAAACACGCCTGAAAACTAAAGTATTTTCGCGATTAGTACCGGCTCCGATCTGCAAGATAGTGTAATGCCTGGCAAGCCCCAAACCTCGACGGTCGAGCAGTTGTAATATGATACATTGTTCAGTGGTGGTAGATATCGGTGATACAATATGTAAATTTTTCTTGTAAATTTCTTTTTGTAAATGAAACAAAACCAAACGTGACATACTTTAAGTCACAATTTACTAGAAGAAAATAGATTATTGTAATTTATTAAATAAGTAAACATGATCCAAAATATATAGTGTTTGGCCTCGTTTTAATCAGAAACAACTTACAATTCAATCGGGAAATGTTTCAATTAGTAAAAACAAAAAATAAAACGGTATAGCATTGCATTAATATTGCCCTTATTCATCTGTTTGTTTTGATCGTTCCGAAGATTGGATATGTCACTCTTTCATTCACGCTGTCCTTCTCTACAGAGGACAAACACAGGAGCTTGATTCGGATCTTATTTCGACTTCGAATCAATACAACTGCTCGATTACTGTCCGGTTGCAGTCCCGATTTTCAGGCACTGATCGCGAAAATACTGTATAGAATTTCTTTTCAACCGGACCGGCAGTACCATAGTAACAGCAGTAGAATTTCGAAAAGTCATGGATTCTTTTCTAGGAATGTGTGGTTTGTGATAGGTAAAACTGTCTCAAGAGCTCGATGCGACCCAAGGCTCGAAAATCTTTTCGGATACAAGGTACGGGACACTGGAACTGAAAAGATTTTCGAGCCTCGGGTTGTGTCGAGCTCGAGATCGGTCGAGCTTTTGGGATTGTTTTATCCATCATAAACTCACACACTCCTAAAAAAGAACCCGTCACTTTACAAAATTCTACTACTACTACTACTACCACCACCA